GTCAACCTTGAGCCGGTGAGATTAGAACCGCTGAACTGCAGATAACAGTCAACTGAAGTGGCCTGCAGTACTGCACCCTAACCACTGCGCCACCTTGGCTCTTCTATATATCTGGACAGGATAAATGTCCCACTGTGTATCTAGCTGAGTGCCAAGCTACTTAGGACTTTATATGTGATATCCACCCACAACCTTATTGGCTTACATAAAAAACTGATAAGCTTAAAAATTTAAACTTCTGTCATTATTCAAGAAAAATGCTAACAGCTTTTGAAATATACCACGTATTAACTGGATGAAAACATTTATTCCACATTCAATCATTTTATAAAGTTGTGCTGGACTTACAAGATAACTGATTTGCAACAAGATAAGATATTTATCATTAAATCATAAAAACAAACTAAAAATGGTCTCCCACCTGACATCGGAGACAATGGATTGCTTGTAAAATTTTGAGAAAGCAGATTTGGTATACACCAGATTCATCTGAAAGAGAACATTTACAGACTTGTTTCAATGTCCTGCCTGAAGTCAATTCAATTTTACTGAGAACAGTATACATTGTGGGTTCTTAAAAATTAGTGATTATTTCTGAGAATGATTAAATATTTTTATAACAATGTATTCATTTATGACAGTAAAGAGCAACCCTTATCACAGCTTTTGTTTTGCCTGGTTGTAAAACTTCCCACCCTCCTCTGCCAACTTTCAATTAGATGTGACTTAAATCTATATTTTGGAAAGCAAAATGAAGTTGTACCAGCCTAAAAGAAAATAAAAGTTCATGATTTAATGGAAATGAAGTGGGAATCCATTATTAATTAAATTGTAGTCCAAGGATAGTTTCCTCAGACAGATAGCATTTTCAGCCAGTTGCAATTCTGTACAATTTAGAGTTTACAGTAATACTCTGGATACTCTACAATAAAAAAAACTACTTCAGAAAAAAGCATGACAATAGGTTAACCCAAGAGTAAAGGTACAAGAAAGATGTCTTCCATTATTTTTCACTAGTTAGAAATGGAAGCTTATCAAGAGTTATTGAGAGAGAGATGTACATATTTTACAACTATGTATTTCTTCTTTAATGCCCTTTTTTTTTTCTTTATAAAAACCACGAAGGTCCTTGGTCTAGTTCACAGGAGTTCAGCAAACTGTTTAATTCTAAAGTAGTATCCGGAAATTATATATTTTAATAAGCAATAATAATTACAATTATTGCTGTGTTAATGAATCTTCCAATTGTCCTTCAAAGCCATACTCCATACACTTTCCCACTAATTTCCTGTAGATGTTAAATAAGCGAAGGGAAAGTAGAGTACTCTCTGAAATACCATGGAGTCTATAACTCCACCTTCCTGATACCAACTGTAACTGTTTTCAAAGGAAGTAGGAGAATATCTTGCAACCATGCCCCCCTTCCATGCCCAACCCCCTATCCGGGTTCAGAATGATACAATGATTAATCATATCAAAAGAAATCCAGATGGGCCAGGTTGGATATATCAAAAATATCCTGACACCATAAAAGATTATTGACAAGTGCAACTAATATTTTATCAGCCTCGCTTAGTACACAATGAAAAGGAATCCAAATAATTTGCTTCCTCCAGGGGTCTTCTAGAGCTGTAACTTTACCAGTTTTGCAGTAATTTTCCCACAAAGGAGAAATTTGGAGACTGGGTGGCAATAATCCAGCTCTGTTGGATCCAGCAGTAGCTTCTTGAGAAAACGTAGATCACCACTTTTTCAAAAGTGATAAAATAATATCCTCCTTCAAGCAAGCACTTACCACCACATGTATCCAACCATATGTTATCTCCAATGAGCCTTGATTAACCAGAAGGGACAGGGATGTAAAATATAAATGTCAGAACTCAAAGCCCAAGAACTGCATTCTAGTAACCTCAGATTCTTCACAGATAACAAAACACAGCTATTTCTCAGTCAATTCCATGGGACTTACACAGTCCTCAAAGAGGCTCCTATAACAATTTGCTTGGCTCTTCCTTTCACAGGAGACAAGTCACCTTATCTAGAGCCTTAAGAAATTTATCTGTGAAGGTAATCAGAGTGGAAAAAATACTTAGATTTTGTCACTCTTCTTGACACAGGGTATTCCTTAATAGTAAAGTGTTCTTACCTGTATTTAGTTGGATTTTCTCTGTTTTCATCCAGTAGTGCTCTAACACCATTTCAGCACCCAAACTTCCTTTGAAAACCAGGCCCCCTCCAGGATCAGTGCACAAAGGCTGCACACTCTGCACAGGCACAATCCAGTCCAAGACTGCTGTTGCCTTTTCATTCCAAGCAGCAACTAAGGCCTCAGTTAAACTGTACTATAGAGCTTCAGGGACAACTCCGAGTTGTTTCTGAAACCCAACAAGGGCAATCAAGTGTCTGAGACAGAATGATCAAATAGATCCTTCTTTTGAATGTAGAGGGTAGCCACAGGAACAACTCCACATCATGTTATCTCTCTCCCCAAAACAAAAAGCAGATCTGGACTGTGACCTCCATTGTAAATTAGGCCTTTAATAATCTGGATGAGATCCATGACTGCCATGATGGACATGGGATCCCAAACTACATTGGGAAATACTCAAAACAAGGCAATTAAGTAGATGATACTAAGTACATTGTAAAAAAAATCCAGGGATTGCCAATGAGAAAATAATACCAGGCAATGAATACAGATCCAAATGTAGGTTTCCTGTTGAGAAATACTGCCATACAACGTTGTTGTTGTTTTGTAAAGTTGACCTATGTACACACCATTCTCAGATATGAGAACATCTGGAGTAATGGATGTTAGCCATGGCTTTCAGGTGTTTATTTAATATAGGATAAACAGGGGCAGGTTAAAAAAGAGAAAAGGAGGCTACATCGAAAACAAACAAATGATATATTTATTTTAGGAACAGAACAGATTGTGCCATGGGTTCTACTCATGAATGTATGTCATATATATATATATGCCTTTCACTATTAAAGATCAGGAGTCATTTCTCATTTTCCTTTGTGCTATTCCAAATTCTCTTGACTGGAGAAAAACTGATAAATGGCAACAGGTATTGTCCTGTCAACGAAGTATTCATTTGAAACAGGCTTGCTCCATCTTTGGGGGGGAAACTCATTTATATTATAACCTCCAGCAAAGCAACTTGAGAAAGGCATATTGGAGCCAGGGCCTTTGCTCATTGTCTCATTGGAACACACAAATTGATTAATGCATGCATCCAGCTAACTATTTTGTCAAATTTACTGATAAAAATGTATGCCATTGTGTATGGGTTTCCTTACCACTTGCTGCACATTCTGTGCTACTGAAAGGAACTCCCTAGATTCTTTCTGCCGATATTCTGGAAGAAATTCAATGTTGGCAACACGAAATAGTCCAACAAAATACAAAGCATCTTTGTTTTCTGCCTCAACTGTAAAACAAAATGGGCAACATGAATATTATGCTTTTTTTCTTTTGCTTTCCATATGGAAATAAAAAGTTGACAGCAAAAGATCTCCACGAACCGGAAAAGCTCTAAGTCCATCATGATTTTCTTAATAACATTCACAACAAAATCATCCCAGCTGCAAAGACAACCCAGCTTCCTAACTTCTCTGAAAAGCATCTCTCTTGTAAACTATACTTGTGACTTGCTGCTTGTCTGAAGCAGAACAAGGATAAGTTTATTTCATTCCCCTTGGAAGGGAGTTCCCTACCTTGTGTACCACTGCGTTAGCTGTTTAGTTTACTATTGTAAGAAAGTAAAGTCTCCTTTGAATTCTGTTTGTTTTCTCCTCCATGGAAACATCACTATAATTTTCATAGAAACAGTTCAGAACTGGTTTCCCATGATAATGTTTCTATACTCCAAAACAGCCTACAGACCTGATCTGCCCTTAAGGAGACCATGAAGGAGACCCCGTTACCTATAAAAGCTTTCCTCAAGTAATTTAGTACACATCAAGGATTTGATAGTGTAATAAGAAGCCTTTGGAATACAGAGTTTAGATGAGTGATGTAGGGAAGAACTCACCTATAAAAAGCCACAATAATGTCCAACTTATTACACTGATAATGAAGAGGACTACTGTAAACAAGATTATTTTATTTTGAAAATTCCAGGCTGACTTGTCCCTTTTAGCTTTCCTTTTGGATTTTGATGTCTTGTTGAGTTTTTTTGTGAGTCTTTCCCACTTTTCTTCAGAATCTGATCTTTGAACTGATATGTTTGATACCTTGAAATGGAAAACAAAAGAGTTTCAAGAAGGCAAAGACAAATATGTTTTATTACAAAGTTGCCATTTCTCCTTGAGATAAGACTGTTCAGGGCGTTCATTAGAAAGACAGAGATGAAAACTTTGGTTTATTCAGTGGCATTTCATGTCCATTTGCCAAACATCATGACCAAGTTGAAGGCTTGAAGAACTCAAGAACATGTAGCAGGTGACAAACTCCCATTTCTGTTTTAAGGTTATTAAATAAGGGTATGGTTTCCTTGTTCTATTACACTAAATGAAGACATTTTCCATTGTTTTACAAACACAACCCATCCTACAAGTATTTTTAGATGCAACTAACAGGAAGGAAGGTAGAATTGAAGTGTTTTACTAGAAAATATATAGCTTTGGGCATTGAAATTGAAAGGATTTGGTATTTTTTTATTAAAATTTGACAGCACGATGGGGAAAGAGTGATTTCACTTTCCTGGGAAAGAAGACATTTCTTTTTTATTTTAGATAACACCAACAATAAGCCTGATAAGAAGGTGCAAATTTCATATGATTCATCTCTCAGGGGAAAAAATACCCAGCAAATAATCATTGATCTGGGCACTAAATTCCAAGAACAATACAATTGCCATAGATAGCATTCCATATTGGCAGGGGTGAAATTCAGCAGGTTCTGAAAGGTTCTACAGAACCAATAGCAGAAATTTTGAGTAGTTTGGAGAACCAGCAAATACCACCTCTTGCTGGCCCCAAAGTGGGATGGGAATGGAAATTTGCAATAGCCTTCCCCCAGGAGTGGGGAGGGACTGGGGATTTTGCAGTATCCTTCCCCTGGAATGAGGTGGGAATGGAGATTTTGCAGTATCCATCCCCTGCCACGCACATCAAGCCATGCTCACAAAATCGGTAGTTAAAAAAATTGAGTTTCACCACTGCATATTGGGATGGAGGTTGAACTGCTATTTATTTTTTTAACGATTCTCATGCAATTGATATAACATTTGCTATGGCTTTTTTGCTGTAGGTTTTTGCTAATTGTCAATTGTCAGTTCTTAGTAGTTAGTAACAACAAAAGTTATTAATACCATTTTTCTAATTAGCTTCTTCTTACCAGCATTCATTTTAGAAAAATATGATTAAATTATTGTATTGTACCATGTTATATGATATAGATAGCTATTTATAACAGTCTGGAATTTCACTTATTTCTGATCAAACCTTTCTTTCCTTAAGTCTTTTAGACTTCAACATAATGTATAAAATGCTTGATCATATCTGTACGATGAGCAAAACCATACATTTTCTGTCTCACCATCTCAAGGAACAAATAATTTTCTAATTTGCATGAGAACAATGTATTATTTTTCTTACACTAGTGATAGTTAAGCATTATAAAATTCATCCCCCATCAGTGAAGTAATTTAAGTATCATTGCACAATTAATTATTTAAATTGCTCTTTTCTTTTTTACCACATGCTAGTTCTTCAGTATAACAGTTACTATGCCAACTAGTTGAAAGCTAACTATATTTAGATACACTGCTTTATCTTATTCTTTTTTTTCACCACATAGGGATGGAATTAGTTATATATATATATATATATATATATATATATATATATATATATA